CATGTTGCTCTCTAAAGACTTATCATTGACACACCACAGCTGTATTTGAGCTCATTTATTATATATATATATATATATCAGTATCGTCTAAAATTAGTATCAGCAGGTCAGACTTTTAAAGATTGATGATCGGCCAGAAAACTGCAATCGGTACACCCCTAATTTAAAGTGTAGTTTCACATTAGCCTCTTAGACAATGATGTATCAGACACTCTTCTTGACTTATAATAATACACAGTTTTTAATTGTTTTAAGCCTCATGCCTCCTACTAATGAATATAGATTCAAAAAAATATTAAATAAAAGACAAAGTAAGGAAAAAACATTAGAAAAGGTAAATTTTGTTCATGTGAGCAGAMAAATGAATAAAGAAAACAAAAATTGGAGTTTTCTTGTCCTGAGTTTGTTATTTTAAGATGTTCTTAAAATAAAAAAAACATAATCTTGAATGTGCTAATGTGTTAATTTAGTTTTAATAAAATTTGAATGTGTTGTTTTAATATCTTATAAGGGCTGTTGTTTTGATTTGGCACTGCAGAGCATCTGTTTCTGATTGTAGGCTCCTTGAATCTTTAAGTGTTTAGTTCAATAAGTAGAACTTGTGTTTTCTTTGGGATTTGTTTATGGCAGGTCTGTGTGATAAAATCAGCAAGCAGTGCAAACATGACGCCACTTAGCACAAGAACTGCATCTTTAAAAAAAAAAACAGGAAACAAAAATATTGCTCAAGATGAAAATACCACACCAGAGTTTAGCTTTGGATGCTTAGGGTTTCAACTTTAAACCGTTGGGCTTAATGGGCTCTGTTTATGTTTTGTCTTTTCCTCTATTTAGAAAAAAACAGATCAAATGCCGGTCTGTTAAATTGTACATATAACAGTATTTGATTTGTTGTTGTAAGTCTTTTTTATTCCATACTTTCCCTGTTTTTAAATGTGAGTAACCAAACTGAGCTGAGAGCAGCTTTTTAGGTTAGGACAGGATCGACAGAAACTTATCACCTATAAGCTAAAACAACAGATTTGATGTGACATTTCACTGAGGAGATTTGTCATTAGTGATCGGTCCCACCTTAGTGTGACTGACGCAGCTTCTTTAGTGATCCTTGTCTGCTTTCAGCAGTAATTGATTTTGTCAGAGGACTGCCAGGTCTCTCATTGTGCTTGTCCAAAGGTCAGAGGGAAGCAGAAAGGTCTGTTTTATAGAAGGAAAATGAGTCATGGTTTGGGCTGTCAGACCTTCCTGTATGTTTTCAGTGATGTATTTAGTCAAATATATTTAGTCATATTTGAGTATTCTCATTAGGAAAGTTGAATAGTCTGCCAATTTAATATTAGAGTTACTGCATCTGGTGACTAAAAATGCAGCAATAGTGATGCAGATTATTGTTTTTTTAATTTAAAAGCTGATTGATACAGTTTAAACCATATAGCAGAGGCAATTATTTTTTCTAAAGAGCTACATACAGAACTAAGTCTGTTGCAGAGGGTCAGACTAACCGGCTAAACTCAATTTAGCCAAATATAAATTTTATTGATCATATGAATTCAATTCTTTTAAGCTAGAGCAGAAATTTCAACTATGTTTTAATGAACATCTGAACGGTTCTTAGTGAAAATTTAAACTTTAAATTTATATTTAATGTAATAAGAGCACAATTTACTGTGGAAACAAAACTTCACATATATTTTCAAGGTTTTAACACCAGCATTAACTATGCTAATGGATTTTTTTGTAGCTTTCTTTCTGTGAAAGGATTTTAGTTCAACTGAGCTGAAGTCATGCAGGCTGGTCAGAGGAATAGTCTTTTGCCCACCTGTGCAAAAATAAAAATAAAAACACACGAACTTCACATGTGGAAATAACACACGTTAAATTAACACACAGCAGAAGTGAAACGAGTTATCGCCTCACAGAAAGAAGGTCAACAATTCACTTCCTGGCTGGGGCCTCTCTCTGCGTGGCGTTCACATGTTCTCTTTGTGCACACGTGGGTTCTCTCCAGGTACTCTGATTTCCTTACACTGAACAAAAACATGCATGTTAAAGTGTGAATGGTTGCCTTTGTTCTCTCTGTGTGTCCCTGGGATGGACTTGCGAGCTGTCCAGAATGTGTCTTCTTGTACAGTGACTTCCTCACAACTCAGAGAGGAAMATGTTTGCAAACAAATAGGATGGATTGCCATGTGTAACTTGTGCTTATCTTCCTTGTAATTTTGTAACAAAAAAAACATTAGAAATTATATATTTGGAGAAACATGGTTCTTTTTTAAAAAGTGTTTTTCTCATGTTTCCTTTGAGACTTTGGAATAACATGCTCTTGTGGTCTCCTGATTTTCCACATATAATCAGTGTTTTTGATTTGCACCCTTAATGAGTGTCCAAATTTAACTTTGTAAAAAAATGTTTAAAAGGAGAGTGCACATTGATCAACATTCAAATGTATAATGGCGACGGAGTTATCACAGTTGCTTGTTTTTATCCATTGTCCTGACAAAATACAAATAAAATCACTTTATAAGACAATACAACAACTGATAAAACAATCCATAAAAATAAACCACGCAAACATCTCACTCTAAAACGGGGCTGTTCACCAGGGGCCTTGTGCTCAAAGACTTGCATGGATTTCTTATTGAATCGTGGCATACAATCAAATCCAGAAAATGGCGTACGCACAAAAAAATAAAAAATAAAAAATCCAGTACGCACATTTATTTTGTAGACATCCCACTTAACGTGGAACTGAGCGCACCCGAGACTCCTCCCCTGACACGCCTTCATTTACACATGTTAAACAGATGCAAATTATTTCCTGCATGTGTGATGAACATGTTTGAGTGATCCCAGTACGATCAGAAATGATTTCTAGATCCAGGAAAATGATGAATTAAATATAATGTGAGTGAAAAAAAATTCCTAAGTAAGAATAGGAGTAAAATATGTTTGTCACACATAAAAGGACAAGTGATTATGYGTCTGTGTGTGTGCGTGAAGCTACTGCGGTGCGCACCCGGCGCAGCCCTCCATTCTGAGCCTGGAAATATTAACTTTGAGCAGGAGTTTAATAACATAATTACTGTAAATACAGAGGAACTCCGATGTTTGGTAGAACATAGATCTTTGTTTATTTAATAGTTGTTATGAAGAAACAAGTCGTTGGCACCTCAGTGGAGAGTTTTCATGATGTTGGCGATTTAAATTTTAAAATCGTATGGATGAGGCCGTTCCATTCGGCATGGCTCAGCTTTGGGTGGATTGGACTGGCACAGACCCGACTGGTGTGTCAGCCCCTTGTGGAACTCCAGTGTGAGTGCTGCCACTGCACGTGGGGCTGCGCACATTTCCACTTTCATTTCAGTCTTGACACATCTAGAGTTTTGGGTGGAAAAGGGCGTATGCACCATTAGCTACGTTTACATGGACATAAGTAATCAGATTAAACGGCCGCTCGGAATAAAAATGCATCATGTCAACAGCCCGTTCCGATTATTCTGATCCGATTGAGCTCGATCCGAATGAATTTTTAATCCAAATGAGAGGGGTGGGTCATGCCGATTGATAATCGGAATGACGTGCATGTAAACACTTAATCGGATCATCTTAATCTGATTGTAGAAAACTGACCTGAGTGMRCATGTCTTCTGACTTTCATTCACCCGGTTCTGCTCTTAGAGGAGGTGGGGCAGCAGCGCTCCAGCTGCGCTGCACCGCGCAGAACTTTTCCTCCACGCTCTCTTAACAGATGAAAAAGGAAACAAACAGCAGACGTTGCTTCGYAAAAAATAAAAATAAAAAACACGTATTGCTTCATCTGCAGCTCAACCGAAGAGTAACGGCGTCTCTACCGTTATTAAAAGCTGACACAGGTCCGTCCTGAGCGCACAGAAGAGCTTTGTTTACGGTTGTAACACGGAAGTAGAGCTGAAAGTTTACAACACTGCGCATGTCTAGACTTCTATTCTGAATAAAACTCCGGTGCATGTAAATACTTGTCATGATCGGATTGCGTCCACGTAAACAGTACATTCGGATTATTTAATCCAAATACATTTCAATCTGATCAAAACATTGTGTGCATGTAAACATAGCCAGAGATACATGAGCCCCCTGGTCACTCGCCACATCTGGCCTCCAGGTGACTTCCATCCTGTATGCCAATGAGTTAAATTTTAGGGAATTTTTTTAATTTAACTTAAATAGATTTCATATAATTTGTAAGTTAACAATTTATGTTTCAGTACAAAAAAATGTAAAAAAGATTTAGTCAAATTTAGTCAAATTTTAAGTTTCTTTTTAAAAACAGTCCTGGTAGTACAGATATTATGTTAGTTTTAGACTTGTAAATTTAACTCTTTTGACAACCCTATAGACAAAGCTTCCTTTAACTGTAAGTCTGAATGATTGTTTTCAACAAGTTGTTCAGCCGTGGCTCAGACAACAGCTGATTGAACATCTCATCTAATATTGTCCTTGCTTTCCCTTTCCTTCCATCCCTCCCAGGACCGATTGGTAGGCGGAGTATTTCAAACGCTGCCAGGGTGGTGAAATGTCACAAAGTATCAGGGCTCAGTGCGGTGATCCCAGGGAACTTCACGTGGAGCTTTTGAGGCTCGTGTTGGTCGAAACCCCTGAAAATGATACCGTTGTTAAGACTTTGATGATTGAAAATAAATGTGCCTTTGCCTTATTTTTATACCAGGCCTRGTTTTGTCTCAGAGACAAGTTTCACTCTTCTTGTTGGCTCAAAAACAAATGAACAACTTTTTTATGTCATAGATATATTTCTGCTTCACCCTATGGAGTAATAAAGACATGTACACTCTGTATTTCTAACACATAGGATGTAAATTCTAACTGAATTAACAACAAAGCTCCCATGGCAAGATACCAAAACTGTTTATATTCTACAGTAATGACCCGCTTTGATCTCAAGAGCAATCTAGGAATGTTGTGATGAATTCTCTATTTCATTTTGTCTCTTTTTCTCTGTCTTACAGGACCTCCAGTAAGTAAACCTGATGCCCTTTGTGACCTGCATGTGGTAAAGTTGACTTTATTTCTGCATTTTGCTCTAAAGTATGCTGTTAGAATCACAGCATCCCCTAGAAAAAAATCAGTGATAAAACTCCATCAATCTTATCTGGATACAATGATAATCTGTGCAAAAGCTTTTTACATGACCTGTTTTGTTCTCCCGTGAACCAAACATTTTTATGTTTTCCAGCTGCCTTTATTCTCTACACATGGTAGAAACTGATAATGATGAATGAGTGATAAGTAGCTGGAATATTTGTGTGGAGTTTAAATGTTCTAAGTTAGTTTCCAGTTAAAATTAAGACATTACTTGAAAATGTGAATCAAAATGTTCCTGGTTTGAGATCATTTCTGGGATTTGCTACTCTTGCCTACTGTGTTTTGATATAAATTTAGGCCTCTTTCAGTTCTGTAAAATAAGTCAATCACAGCTTTAACTTGATGGTAAAATAGTAAAAGTGTGTTAGAAAGAACATCCTGACTCAGTGACACGTGAACTGGGAACACTGGCCCAAACATCTGGCTGTTTTTGTGACGCTGACTTTAACTTTTGTCCAGCAAAGTCAGTTCTTCTCACCTCTTCCAAATATCCCTCCCTGGAAAAAATGAGAGRTAGTTCCTGTACCGGAGATTTTGGGGCCCTTAAGGCCGGACCGTAGGACTGACTTTCAACGCATTCAGTTTTATACAAACATTTTTCCACTTCTTAACACCATGTCTTAGAGATTTTTTTTCCTTTTAGTTTTTCCTACATGTAAACTTACCGAGATAAAGTTGTAATTTCAAGATTTACAGAGTTTTGATGTAACATCTCTTTCACCAAAGAATGCCAGACCAGGCCTGGTGCCAGAGGCAGTTTTTGACTGGTTTTCTGACTGAGATCAACTCAAAGCTGTGTCTTTGTGTCCCTTATTATATCTTACCCAGTAAATGTTTAATCGTCCTTTTGTTTTATGTGGAGTTTCTATAGAGAAAAAAAATTGCAGGGAGACATTTTATATTGCAATCTTTGTATCTGACTCCTTTATCCTAAATTTTAATATAACCAATATAACAAAAAAACATGTTTTTTTAAACCTAGTCAAGATTTTGTTGTCCCTGACATTAGCTACATTTAGATGGACATAAGTAATCAGAATAAACTGCCAATCAAAATAAAAATGCTTCATGTAAACACCCCAATCTGATCTGATTCAGATCAGAATGAATTTGTAATCTGAATGAGAGGGGTGTTTTATGCCAACTGTTAATCTGAATGTAAACCCTTATTCTCATCATGTTATTCTGGTTGTGGAAAACTGCCCTGACTGCACATGTCAACCGGATGTATTTTTGCCTGGCTAGATGCTAATATGTCGGGGAAGCAATTGGTCGGATAGCAATACAACATTGCTATTATAAACTTTGAAAGAGTTTAAAATAATTGGACGCTCTGATGGTTGAAAGTGTAGGAACACTGAAAGCAGTAACATCTCCAACTTTATTAAAAACTGGTGTGGGTCCATTCTGAGCACTGAAAATACATTTGTTCATCACAAAGTAGAACTACTTTTTCTGTTTTTTAGGGAAAGTTTGCAACTCTGCTCATGACAGTGCTTCTATTCTGAATAAAAGCCTGATGCATGTGTGCCAATGCTCGTCATGATTGGATTAATTCATTTGTTGCCCATATAAGTGATACATTCAGATTATTTCATCTGAATACATTTGAAACCAATTTTGCGCATGTGAGTCATTTTAGATTAAGTATCTGATTCCCAGTCCAATAAAAGCCCTGACTTGTAGATCACATAACATGAATACATTAAAGAGATGATTAGTTGTAACATTAGACTTTATTTGATAAACATGTTTTTTAACTGCAATTTATAGTCTGTGAAAATACAGTAGGCTGTTTGGTTTAGTATTTTTTTTTAAATTTATTGTAACATGGACAGAACCATTTTATTTCCACGCAAAGCATTCTGGGTAAATGATGACGTCTACTAGGTCATTGGCGCGAGGCTGCTAGCAAGCTTTATCAATCCTGAAGGTTAATCCTGAACAATATCTGACAATCGGCTCTTTTAAATGAAACCAGAGAGCGTTGACRGAGAGGAGAAGGTAGAAATGACTCAGCCTGTAACTGAAAATATDGATGGAGGACAACAGAGCTGCTTCATGGAAGAAGAACCCCAGCTTAGCCTGTTAGCCTCAGCACTGACAGGAAAGCTAACAAGTTAAACTGAGGTCCTCCATCCATATTTTCAGTTGCAGTCTGAGTCATTTTTGCGTTCACCTCTGTCATGTGGATGGAGGACCTCAGTGACGAGAGGAGAATGTGTAGCGCTGAGCTAATACATATGTATTGTGATGGAGTCGGGGCTAATGCTAAATCTAACAGGCTAAGCTGAGGTTCTTCTTCCATGAAGCAGCTCTGTTGTCCTCCATCCATATTTTCAGTTACAGGCTGAGTCATTTCTACCTTCTCCTCTCTGTCAACGCTCTCTGGTTTCATTTAAAAGAGTCAATCGTCAAATATTGTCCAAGATTAACCTTCAGGGTGGATATAGCTCACTAGCAGCCTTGCACCAAGGACCTATCCACGTCATCATTTACCCAGAATGCTTTGTGTGTAAATAAAATGGCCCCGTTCGTGTAATATATTTTTAAACTTTTAGTTTAAAAATTATAAAAACTTAACAGCCTACAGTATTTTTACAGTCTTTATTTGACAGTTAAAATAAATGTTTATCAAATAAAGTTTAATGCTACAACTAATTGTGGATCCCTTTATTAAAGTTCCTAAAATCATTGGCATAACATGTGGTGCCAACAGCTCCAACAGGTGATGAAAAAAAAAAACTAGTTTCACCACTACAGTGATATTTTGACAACCAGATCATTTTTTCATCTATTTTGCCTTTTCACTATCCCAAGAAAACCTCTCTTAAGAGCACAGGCATCAAACTCCGGTCCTGCTTGTTTTGTTCATTTCTCTGCTCCAGTGGTGGGCAGCGCTAAACTAAAAATTAGTTCCACTAGCCGTAAAACACTAACTCAAATATTTAGGTCTACTAATTCTAAAGCACTATTGCACTGAAAGTTTTAGCCAAAGCTAATTCTAAAGCACTAAAATAACCCAATCAACCCATGACCATTCACACGACAACATGAGTCACATTTTGCCATGTTGCTCTCTAAAGACTTATCATTGACACACCACAGCTGTATTTGAGCTCATTTATTATATATATATATATATATCACCCTCAGCTGTTAACATTAATGTTGATCAATAACATTTATAGACCTCAGTTAGTGCTTTTAAATTTAGCCTATAAGATTAGCAATTTCTAATCCACTAAGAAATTTTAAAATTAGCAAAAGCCCGAAAACACTAATCAGGAAATTAGTTCCCTTATTAGTGCTTTAGTGCTTTAGGAGAACCTGTGAAACCCACCACTCCTCTGCTCCAACACACCTGGTTCAGTGATCACCTCTTCAAATTCTGTAAAAACCTGTCACTCACCCAGTCATGCAAATCAGGTGTGTTGGAGCAAAGAAACAAGGAAACTGCAGGATAACGACCTTCAAGAACTGGAGGGCTTTAGGTTTTCCTCTAAAATGTGCTGTTTAGCCATGCTAACTTCAAAACGTAGCTGGGTAAGCTTGACGTTCTCAACTAAGTGTTTAGATTTTAAACGTATTCTTAAATTGGTTGTATTTAATATAACTCTGTTACTACCACCTCAAGACACACCCTAATTGAAAATGTTGCAAATAACTACTAAAATGCCTTTAAAAAACACATACTACTGYAAACATGTTAACACCTTACATCACAATGTTTTACAACAACCGTAATGAGGCGGATGTAAAACTTTAGACAGTCCAACAGCGATTAAGAGCAAAGTGTGGACAACTGCTCTAAAACTGATCAATGAAAAATTTGATCAAAACTTAGATGTGATACTACCTTGGGACGTCTCTGCTTTTAAACAATAGTAGTGATGGGATTAATGGCTCTTTGAAGGGATCCGGATCTTGGRGAGCCGTTTGCTTCATTGAGCCGTTCAAAAGAGCCGTAGGATTTTGAACAAGTTACATCATCACGTATGGTGACATGATGACGTCATCATGTTACYAGGGTGGAACCATRTGTTTTGTCAAGCAAGAAAGCCCCCTCCCCCATTCTCATGAGCTTCTGCACTCCACCGCTCTGCCTGTTTTCCGTGAAAAAGCAAAGTGGGGGTGATTTAAGGATGAAAAAATAAAGATTATATGAAGAATAAAATAAAAAGAACTACAAACGGCTCGTTACGGCCCACGACTTGGCTCCTGTCGTTCGTTGTAAAGAGTTGTTCAAAAGMTTCGGATTGTTCGTGAACGTCACATCACTAAACAATAGTCCTGTCTGTGAAGGCTCCTTATAATGCATACTGGCATTTCAGATCACTGATCTGGACAGAAATTAATACTCTGTTACATATCCCACATAGAAATACAGCAGATRGAAAACCATTCACACTCACATTTAATTTAGAGGAGTCAATAGATATGTTTTTGGACTTCAGAAGTACTTTTTTTAAAATAAAGTTTAAAAAACAAATGATGGCACAAAACTGAAAGTGCCAGAAGGACCTTATGTACCTGTAATCTAGTATACACTTGAGTCTTGTTAACAAGCACTAAAATAAATTAACAAAAGACCGTTAGACACAAATTATCTCCCAAGGTTATACAAATAGAGATTCATCACAAGCTGTGAAAACCCCAAAACACACGAGAGGGTTCACGGTTCTAAATGAGACAAATATTCAATGAAGCTCAAYWATAYTTCTTAGTTTACACAMGAACAAATCWCCTTTCATTATTTTCTGTCTTTGTGTACTGTACACATTGAAGTGGTAGTAACAATGGAGTAAATTAAATGTCTCTGCTGCACACCCCAAATCACTTCATATTGAGCAGAGAAGTACCCWGGAGACT